AATTGTAATAATAGTGTATGATGGGGGTCCAAGGCCACATATATAGTATTTGTATGGCGGGGGCCTAAGGCCACCTATATAGTATTGTAATAATAGAATAGTTTATGCTGGGGGCCCAAGGCCACATAATATAGTATTGTATATGACGGTGGCCTAATGCCATCTATATAGTCTTGTAGTATAGTGTATGCTGGCGGCCCACCAAGGCCACATATATAGTATTGTGTACTAAGGCCTCCTATTATAGTAGTGAGTGGTAAGCCTTGGTTGTAAGCTATACCGCCTCCAGCAACGAAAAGTAGGCTGCATCACTTGCACAGTGTATTATTGCGCCAGCGGAGCTCTAGGCCCCCGATGACTTAAGGCCACACTTGGATGTGGATATCTGTCGCCTGCATACGCAGCGGGGACCTTACATGCAAGGTCTTCCTCCTATTTAGTAAATAATGTCTACTGATGGAATGTTATCATATAAATCTATGCTAGGATAACACCTCTTCATTTAAAATGCATAATCTTTGCAAAATACTATTTCTCTCGGGAATATTGCGCATGCGCGCGAACCGTGTTAGGTCTGCTGTGCCGTCTGAGGCAAGCTTCATAATATAGCTTGCTGCAGGGGAGAGGGGATGGGAGACTAAGAAAAGGCTGCAGGGAAGATAGCTGAGGGCGGGAGAAGAAGAAAGAGGCTGAGCGAGACACAGGGGAGGCAAGGAGAAGGACGCGAGGTCATAAAGTTGGTGTTTTGTACCCTACATGCTAGGGCGCTCTCCTAATTATAAACACAGGTCTACTGATAAAAGGTTATTAGGGAAATCTATGCTGAGATACCCCCTAACCATTTTAAATGCATATTCATCCCAAAATATAACTCCTCTGGTGAGATATTGCGCATGCGCTAACACACTAACGTAGCCAGATGATGTATTGGCTGGTAAACGGAGCGGAGACCTTACATGCAAGGTCTTCCTCTTATTTCTTAAATGATGGCTACTGATGGAATGTTATCATATAAACCTATGCTAGGATAACTCCTCATCATTTTAAATGCATAATCTTTGCAAAATACGTTTTCACTCGGGAGATATTGCGCATGCGCGCGCATCGTGTTAGGCGTGCATTGCCGTCTGAAGCAAACTTCATAATATTGCTTGCTGAGGGAGAAAGGCGATGGGTGACTGAGAAAATGCGGCAGGGAAGATAGCTGGGGGCGGTA